AGGTATAGATTTATGGAAATGGATTAATTTAAGATAAAAGAACAGTTAACAAGAAGCCTGCCACGGCCATACAGTTTGTATGCAATATAAGTCTCTGTGTTTACTTGGTTGGGTCTGAGCGGCTGTGGGACTGGTGGGTGACAAAGATTTGTCCTGACTGTGGGCAAGGCAGGAAAACTCTAGCTACAGTCCACCAAGGCAGGAGGGGGCAGGCCACAATGCTGTCACAGTCAGGAAGCAGAGCGAAGACAGGAAGTGGGACCAGACTATAAAACCATAAAGCCCTCCCCCAGTGGCCCCACCTTCATGAGATAGGCTCCACCTCCTAAAGGTTTCAACAGTCTTTCTTTCAAAACAGGTAGGACCAAGCGTTCGAGCGTGAGAACCCACTCAGGACATTCACACTCAGACCACAACCATGTGTCTTGAAAATGTTGCTGATATGAGGAAGACTGAGAGGAAGGCTCCTCAAGCCAGCTGTGGTGGTCGTACACCTTTAATCCCAGCACTCTGGGGGCAGAGGCAGGAAGATCTCTGAGTTCAAGGGCAGCCTGGTCTATACAGAGAGTTCCAGGGAAGCCAAGACTATATAGACAGAGAAAATTTCCCTGTCTCGAGAAAATAAAAAATAAAAAATAAGAAAAGAAGGTGTCTACCTTATATGAGATTTGTTTTGTGACATAGTTCCTTCTTAAATAAATAAAAGTACATGCCCATGTCCAATTGTATTCAGAAATATAAGTTGGATAAACCAGTCACCATGAACTTACCCTGGGGCTTCAGTCCTTCCTCCATTGCCCAGCTTCACATACCAGATGTAACACTTACTACATACTCTCAGAGCGGCCTTTGCAAGATTTCTGTCTTGGTGACATGTCACAGTTTAGTTGCTCTAAGAACTCACTAATTCTGCTCACATCTTGATTTTCATCTTTGTTCCAAACACTAGAAAATTAGGAAAAATAAAAGCAAAATGTGCATTGACAAAGCCTTTAAGAATCTGAGAACCCACATTTTGTTGTGTTGTGCCTGTGTCTCGAGACCCCTCGAGCAAGACCACCACGGAGCCGATACCCGATACAAAACACACAGGGGTTTATTGATAACAAACAAGCCCTGGCTTGGTCCATGTCCAACACGCCGACCCAGCGGGTGGAGGAGGACGGCCCTGAGCTCTCAGGGTGAGGGGTTTTTAAAGGGAAAAACCGAAAGCAGGGTGATACAAGCCTTTGCGTCATATGATTGGTGAGGGTGTGTGACCTTTGAATTTACTGGTTGGGGGTTACAGTTAACATTTTTGAGCAGGCCTGGACAAGTCCCAGGCTCTGTTCTTGAGCTGCCATGGAAGCTCGCTAGCCTAGCACATACTGACTGTGGAGGTTGACTCAGTGGCCCAGGCTCTGTCCTTGACTCATACACATAGCTCTAAGTTGGTGAGGGGTCCCAGACAGTAAACAACTGGCTGAACCTTGAGCAGTCAGAGTACGTGCAGAAAGGGAGCTACTGCAAGAACTATGTCATAGTCCTCCCAGAAACTGCTTGCTTAAGTCTCAGGAAACTGAAATTGAGGCCTGATCTCTGAGAGAAGACTGAGCAGGCTGTTACGGCGTCTGCTTGGTCCTTTCAATTGCAATATATTTGTACACCGTGTGAAGATGTGTCATTGTGATTGGTTTAATAAAAAGCTGAACAGCCAATAGCAAGGCAGGAGAGGTTAGGCAAGACTTCCCCCGACAGAGAGAAGAACTCAAGGGATGAATTTGAGGTGGGCAGATTTCTCCAGTGAAATGCAGAGCAAGTCAGACACATGGTACTGAGGAGAGATAAAGAGCCATGTAGCAAAAGGTAGATTAATAGAAATGGGTTAAAGTTATAAGAGCTAGTTGGAAACAAGCCTAAGCTAAGGCCAAGCTTTCATAATTAAAATAAGTCTCTATGACATTATTGGGGGGCTGGCAGTCCAAAAAAAAAAGTCCAACAAGGAAGACCTACACATATCCCTCCCTGGGCATCTCTTGCTGCAAGCCAAGATCCGGGTAACAAGCTGAGAGGGTCTCTTTGGGTCCATGTTTGGCACTAATCCACTGCAGGGACGGCTCAGCCTTTCTCATGACATGAAGACGAAGGCACACGGTTTTGTCTATGATGCAAAGTATCCTCTTGGAACATAGGCTAGTTGTCTTGCTGGGGTCAAACCACACACCTGCTCCTGAGTATAGATCACGGTAACTGCTGACCTACTGTGTGGCTTGCAGTGACTCAAGCCCTGGGCTCTGCCCTCCCTTTACTGCTAAGGAAACTCATTTCCCCGCATCTTGTCCTGGTCCAATCTGTTTTGTACTATTTGCCAGGATTTACCTTTAGTGCACCTCCTGTAAAGATATTGGGAAAGATTTCATTCTTGACTCAAGATTGTCAAAATACTTTGAATTCTCTTTGTGGTCATTTGAATGAAATTGGCCCCCATAATCTCATAGGATGTGGCACTTTTAGGAGGCTGGGCTTTGTTGGAGTCGGTATGGCCTTGCTGAAGTAAGTGTGTCACTGTGGAGGTGGGCTTTGAAGTTTCCTGTGCTCAGGATAGTGCCCAGTGTCTCAGTTGACTTCCTGTTGCCTGCAAGATGTAGCACTCTCAGCTTCAGCACCAAGTCTGCCTGCAGGCTGCCATGCTCCCTGTCATGATGACGATGGACTGAACCCCTGAAGCTGTAATCGAGCCACTCCAATTAAATGTTTTATTTATGAGAGTTGCCGTGGTCACGGTGTCTCTTCATAGCAATAGAAACCCTAACTAAGACACCATCTTCAAAGTCAACAAGCCTCATTTATAAAGACAAAACCCGCTTTGCTTCTCAAACAGTTTGTGTGTTTGTGTCTCTCATATTCTTTTCATCACCAAGTCAAACAAAGAAATGAAAAGGAGGCGGTCTCACATTCAGGAGTCTTCACAAGCGCGGCATCCTTCTGAGCCTGTGCCCATTTAAAAACTGTTTAAACGCCTGTTTGTTTGAATCACATGGAAACAGAGAATCAATCGATCATCACTGGCTGGAAATAAACACAAGTTGGCTAGGAAGGAACAGAAAGCCTGCTGAGGGCTGAGAATAGACTGGCTTTCTCCCAGGGAGCTCTTTCTCAGCTCGCTGAAATCCCAAGCAGTTTTATGTTCCACGCAGATCTGAGAGGTGAGGGCGGGGAGAGCATCAGTGGAGAAAGACGTGTACAAAGATCGAAAGTTGCCACTGGGGACAAGGGAGGGAAAAGACGGGACTATAATGTCTATCATTCAGGGTTTACTGCACTCAGGTCGAAAATATCAGTCTTGGTGATAGTTACAATACATCGATTTACCGAGCTCCCCAAGATCTTCTTTTGAGCTTGAGCTGCCTTTTCAGCGTGGGCTCTACCTAACCTGACCCAGCTTATGGACTGAACTTGCTCACTCACCAGGCTTTTAAAGCAGTGGTTCTCAACCCCTGTGGGGTCGCATATCAGATATTTACATTACAATTCACAACAGTAGCAAAATTACAGTTATGAAGTAGCCACGAAATAATTTTATGGTTGGGGGTCACCACAACATGAAGAACTGTATTAAAGGGTCGCAGTGTTAGGAAGGTTGAGAACCCCTGCTTTAAAGCATATACCAGATGCTCTCTGTCCTTTGTTCAAATGTCTCAAAGCTGACCACACCTACTGGGCTCTCTGCTCCTCTTCACTGCTCTGAGATCTGACCCTGCCTCTCTCTAGCTACATGTTCTCATCACCTTGACCTTGAAGTGTCAGTCAACCTCAGGGCCTTTGCATCTGCTCTTTCCCCAGATAGCTGGATCCACCTCCTCCTCTCACTGGGGACTTGCTTTGCTTAGCATCCGGTCTAAAGGAGTGCTCCCCTCTCCAGCTCATCCCTACTTGCCTTACGTTTTTCTAGCATTGACCATGTGTGTTTGATTTGTGTGATAGCTCTTTCCCTCTAGAATCTATGAAAAGAGCAGCCATGTCAGTTTTACTGTGACCCCCAGCATGGACAGTGAGCACCCCATGACAGGCACACAGCAAACATTTGCTGAATGAATAAATCCAAGGATAACCTTGGTCAAGACATACATTTTCTTTTGTTTTTCTGTCAAATGTCAGAGCATCTTCATCTTCTTCTGGCATCCTAACACTTGGTAATATGTTTGCTTCCGGAGTTTCTGATCATTATATATATTTTAAAGTAGATGAAAAGTTTCTCAAGGAAGAAACCATCCATGCTAAGGGAATACATTATCACTTGTGCAGCAAGCTGGAGCTAACCAAAGCCCCTTTTCAATTCTTCTACATACATTCCCTTGACGATGTCATCTCAAATACTAGACACCAGTCTTCTGTGGGGAAGGAGATCAAATGTTTCCATTGTCCACATGACACTCTCTGACCTCCAGTTCTACAGTGATGAACCACAGCCACTGCTGAAGACTACAGCTTGAAGTGGGTGAAGACCAGCTAATTCTTTTGATGTTACAGAACTCACAGCCTGGCCAATTAAAACACATGAGGACCCACATGCTTCCTTTTATCTCCAGGTAACTGACCCAAAGAAGGTTGCACCAATGCTGGACCCACGGGCTGCTTGCTCAGCTGACCCAGACTGTGCACAAGGCCAACATCACCTCCATTTTGTCCTGCCTCGCTGAGTGTTGTTTTCATAGACAACACTCTGGATAGCTTTAAGTATTTACCCCCCACGGGTATTCAGTTGTATTCCCACCCCTATTTTACACATGGAAAAAGCCTAGGGATATGCAAGAATTAGAAACTTGACCAAGAATATTTCCTGTCTCTACGTCATCACTGTATTTTTAGGGTCAAGAGCACAGTAGCAACTCCAGCAGCTTCACAGCAGACAGTGGAAGCGTGGTGGTGTTAGGATCAGAGGGCAGAACCATCCTGTTCTTTCTTCACTCTGCCCTGTGGTCTCTTAGTTTCCCACTCAGAAAGCCAGAGGTGACCAAGGCGAGGCACAGGCCTGGTCTTCCTGAGGCTCCTTTCCCAACATACTACTTCTGTGTCCCCTTGGCACCTGGAAAATGTCTCTCACCTTGGGATCAGAACAGTAAAAGGAAACAAGACAGAGCTTAGGCATTCTCCTTCAAACTCTGGCTCTCTTACAACACACCACACTTAGGCTAAAGCTCCAGGAGCCTTGGCTTTCTGGCCTACGTGACAGGTCACCAACACAGAAAAGTATTCAGGTACCTCACACCTGGTATGTCAGAATTTGTCTGCGCTATAAAACACTAACAAAAGACACTGTTCTGTATGGGGGTCAGTCTACTTCCTGTAACCAACTCTAAGATGAGTTACCACTAGGAGACACTGAACTAGGAGACTGGAGAGGACCACACCAGCAAGGTGGCTTCTCCCTGCTGGGCAGAGCGTGGAACTGCCTTTGTTGTCTTGCTGGAGTGGCTGTATGAAGAGCATCCTCGGAGAGTGGCCAGGTGGTGCAGGGCTGGGCAGGAGACCTGCGCCCACGCTGCGGGTGGGGCGCACATCTCATCACTGGCTCCACAGCCACAGAAAGCTAATGGTCTTCCCCTGAATTTTCAAGTGATGTTATGGTCTGGGCTGATCGGCTCCAAGATGCCCTGTGTGCTCACTTTCCTGACACGTAAGCTGTGTTTCCTTTACCTACAGCTGGAAGACTGCTTCTGCACGTCTGTCAGGTAACGGCTTTTCACCTCTCCCTTCCCTGACCCTGCTGGAGGAAAGATGAGCTCTCTCAGAGACTCCAGTGAGGTCACCCCTGTATTTTTCCTTAACGTGACACAGAAGCATTTTATTCTCCTCCCTCCACACTGAGTGCTCTTCCTCAAGTCCTGCTTCAGATTACAAAAGTCTTCCACAGCAAATACAGGAGACTATTCCACAACATTTAAGCCAATAAAGGTCACATTCCC